TGAATATATTCTGTGTATTTGCATTTATGAGTAGGTTTCTAACTTAATTAAAGCATGTCATCTTCTATTGCAGACGTGCTTATAATGGAACAAATGCACTATTTGTTTATAAACTTGATTTTATCGAAATCATTAATATTCATTATTACATCAAGCAATTAATATGAGCTGATTGCTACAAATGCTGTGATAATTTTGCTATTTGTCATGTAATTTTGCCTCTTTTTGGTACATTTCTGATGTAGGGTCATGTCCTATGTCTAGAGTAGTGTGCCTAAATTATGCTTATGATTGCTAAATAATACTTTTGTTTGACAGCATTTGAATTGAAAGAGTTAACACTGTTTTGTGCTGCTTTGATTGGTTGATACATCTTTCTGTATTCTGAGAACTCACATTGTTCTGCTTCCGTCTCCATAGCGATCTTCTTCAATTGCTGCTCCAGAGGGCAGTATGCAGAAGTTACTGGATGCACAGATGTCTTGTAAATCATCACGTCGACCACTGTATGATCCCGCTGCTTTCCAGGATTCTCCAAAAGTCTCTCCAGCACACTCTAGATCAATGAGTCCAATGACAATATCTAAAAGCCCTAAGGTAAGTTGGTTATCATGGAAGTTTGACTATGTTAATCCTGTGTGCTGTGTTCCTGTCATCAGTGTTCGGCAATCAATTCCTGTATTTTTACGGCATAGGGTAACAAATTTTGATGCAAGAACATTAACTCTGTAAATTTGCAACTATTTCCATACGATCTAATAAATAATGTGTACATATGAAATATGTGCATATCTATGATCAAAATACATTGTATTTGTATTGAAAGGTTGTACTTGTATGATAAAATCATAGTTATTTGTTACACATGCTGCTCAAGTTTTTACATGTATCTCTATCTTGAGTCATTCAATGCAAATTTCGCTGTTTTCTGCCTCTTCGTGTGGTGAGCTCATTATTGTTAACTTTATATTTCAGGGAAAAGTAGAAGACATTTCTAATGTGCAGGAAATAGAAGGACAACACCAAAGACGACTTTTGGAACGAATTAAATACCATCAAGAATTGGCTGAAGGTTTACGAGGTGTATTACATCCAATATATAGAGATACATGTGTAGAATTATTAGATTGGGCGTATAAGTTGGGTGAGTCAAGATTACATCATTAGTTTTTTTTCAAATTTCATTATATATTTTGTTAAACTTTAGAAAGCATATTATTATTAAATGAATAATTTTTTTCATACAAAATGCATAATTGAGGATTTTTTTTATACAAATTCATTCCATAGAACAAGAGATTATTCTCAAGATCTTGGTATTGTTTCTGTAGATTTGTTAGCCAGCCAATTATATGTAAGGTTGATTAATTTGCCCATTACGTCAGCATTAAACATTGGCTGAATTCCCCCTATAAATCTGTATTCACTGTGAATGAAAACAAACACAACAGCCTTCCAATAGTAAATGCCATACGGGGTCACATGTTGTCATGCATTTTGAATGTTTTTATTAATTCAACTATATTGTAATGTAAGACAACAATATCATTTGGTTTAATTATGAAATTGATTTTAGTTATTGTTACAAGATATCTGATTGATGTATCCAGCTCTTTGGCATGTCCAACAAGTAATTCAATGGAACTGATTTTTTCTCATACAATCATGCATGTGATAAGTGGCTGATCTGAAAGAGGCTGGGTAGCAGTATCTTCATTTAATTGACAACCTTTGAGTATGAGCTATTTGAGAAGACTTTCTCGCTGTGAGAGTGACATAAAGTGTGTTATGTGTTTTCTGAAAATTTGAACTCACCAATTCTCTTGTTTTTTTTTTTGTTTTTTTCTCTGCAATCGTAACTCTTCTTAACAAATAATACTGTTAAATATTATATTGTTTTAGGTGTTCCCTCATTGCATAAAATGAAAGCTTCTTTGACATCCAGGTTCTCTGTTGATATAGCAATCAATGAATTCCTCTCACTGATTAGATCAGTGTCTTCAGATGTGACACTTAAAGTGTTCCAAGAAATGGGTGATGGATTTTTTTATCCAATTGACTTATCTAAACTAGTATTTCCAGTAAGTATGAAATAAATTGAACCTAAAATGTTTGTTACCTGTCTGAGGTCATAAACTACAATTCTTGGAACTGAATACAGAATTCAGAAGATGTATTGCATTGCATCATGGGTAACAATCAACAATTCAAATACAAAACAACAATGAAAGTTTTATAAATTTCCTTTATTCCTTACTTTTATTTTCATAATGCCTTTCCAGCAACATAAAAAGCATTGCATCTTGAAGTTTAAAAATGTGTAAACCTTGTAAGTCTCATCTTAAGGATTTACCGACAAACCACAAACACTTAAACATAATTTTTGTATTTTCAGTACAGTGAAGATAAATCGGAATCGTCATTCTCATCTCCATTGGCAACATCATCAACATCTCTTCCATCACAACCTGGTTCTACTAAGAAGTACATTGTGATTGGTCGAAATATGCATCAATGGAGATGTACTGTAGATACAGGACTTCCTGGTGATGAGATTCCTAATTATCCATCCCTGATAAATCAAGATAGTAAGTGACTTTCTTTTTCTATTTTGTCATTCCTCCAAACTGACTTGTACACATTGTTGGGTCTTCCTGAATTGTAAACATTGATGTGTCTTCCTGACTTGTAAACATTGATGAGTTTTCATAACGTGTAAACATTGATGTGTCTTCATGACTTGTAAACATTGATGTGTTTTCATGACTTGTAAACATTGATGTGTCTTCATGACTTGTAAACATTGATGTGTCTTCATGACTTGTAAACATTGATGGGTCTTCATGACTTGTAAACATTGATGTGTCTTCATGACTTGTAAACATTGATGTGTCTTCATGACTTGTAAACATTGATGTGTCTTCATGACTTGTAAACATTGATGTGTCTTCATGACTTGTAAACATTGATGTGTCTTCATGACTTGTAAACATTGATGTGTCTTCATGACTTGTAAACATTGATGTGTCTTCATGACTTGTAAACATTGATGTGTCTTCATGACTTGTAAACATTGATGTGTCTTCGTAACTTGTAAACATTGATGTGTCTTCATGACTTGTAAACATTGATGTGTCTTCATGACTTGTAAACATTGATGTGTCTTCATGACTTGTAAACATTGATGTGTCTTCATGACTTGTAAACATTGATGTGTCTTCGTAACTTGTAAACATTGATGTGTCTTCGTGACTTGTAAACTTTGATGTGTCTTCGTGACTTGTAAACTTTGATGTGTCTTTGTGACTTGTAAACTTTGATGGGTCTTCGTGACTTGTAAACTTTGATGGGTCTTCGTGACTTGTAAACTTTGATGTGTCTTCGTGACTTGTAAACTTTGATGTGTCTTCGTGACTTGTAAACATTGATATGTCTTCGTGACTTGTAAACATTGATATGTCTTCATGACTTGTAAACATAAAAGTATGATATGCAAATGATGTATTTTTTTGTTTAACAGCTCATAAAAGTTTCCAACGATTTGATCCATTGGATCCTGGTCTGTCAACATGTGGAGGGGAGGATGAGAGAAAATTAGTGGTACCAAGACAACGGCTATTACATATGCAAGTCAATGATAAAACGGTAAGACTATTGGACACAGCCAGTGATCAATTCAATATATTTGTGCAAATGTTTTCATTTGAACAAAAACAGAACTTGACAATACTTGTTTTGATTGAAAATGTTATCATTTTGGTTGTGAGTAGTTTATTGTGGTAAAAATTTATATCTGTGAAGTGGTTAGATAACTGTAGTTTGGTTGTAAATGCATTATGATTGAAAGCAACATTTTAAAGGAGACAGTGTGATGATAAGAGTGTTGTTGTTTTGAGAAGACAGTGTGGTGGCCAGGACTCTTAGTCACTTGGTACAAATTCATGTTTGCGTCCACGTCAATGTTAGGTACTACATGTGGTCCTCTTTCAGATTTGTTCATTTCATGATGATATCTTCAATTATCTAATTTTGATGATTATTCTTGTCATTTTCAGTGAAAAGTGATCCTTTTGAATTCTTGTTGAAGTCTGGTTGCTTTGATACTATACATATTGTTCATTTTCTAATGATATCTTCTGTTCTTTAATTGAATTGTGCATTGCTAACAGTGGAGCTATCTCAGCCAATAGGCTGCTTGTTTAATCAATGCTGTTCTAGAGCAATATCTCTCAATACAAGATGACTGAATGTCAATCATTTTGATGTTAACAAATCATCATAATCAAGCATCATCTTCTGGAATCTTTTTTTTTTATGATATTTATTTACTTTTATGTATATAACTGGACAAACAAAACATATACATTACATTGCAGAAGGCTTAATCTCAAGATATGATTTCAAAAGAAACTGTGTGTGGTAAGATCTAGCTAGATAGAAAATGAATACATAAATAAATATTGACTATTTTAATTTCAATTTTAATAAGTCTGAGTGAGAGTCTATCCTGTATGATTGACCACTTTTTGTTATGTACCTCAAGTTTACTATTCTTCGTTGCAATATATTCCTCAATCTCGTTTATATCTTTGACCATGGTTATGTAAATATTAAAATTTGGAATGATTACTTGCAGTTTGCATTTATACAAGTGTATTTTACCAAGAATGAGAAGATGATTTGTGAGTTGGGACAATTCCGTTGAACCGAGTATTATATCCTGAACACTCGGAAAACCATCTGTTGGAATGCATTCTGGGAACCACCTCGAGAATGTTGTCCAGAAATTACGGGAGAAAATACAATGATAAAATAAATGATACATTGTATAATTATAAATTGAAACTCTCGTGATTTAGTGTCTATCGTGAAATAAAATGGTAAAATATACAACTTTCTCAAACTCGAAAATGGTATATCAAAATCATTCATGAATTTGCTAGCGCTTGTCGGCCTTTGGTATTTTGATTTTCCCAATTGTCGTTTAATTGTATATTTAGAAACAACACTCATTGGAACAAACTTTTTGTCAATATAAATACATGGTGAATGTTTCCTATTGGCTGTACATGTATGATTGTACTTCAGCCAGGGG